CCCGCTTCATATCAGTCCTTTCGCTTCATATTTTACTTAGCAAATGAGGCAACCGAGAATCAGGAATGGTCGTCCGTTTGTGGGTGGACAGGAGCGCTGGGCCTTCGGGTCGGTATGTTGCAGCATGAGGGCCTTATAAGGGTTCTTCGCTGAGAAAAGGCGTTACACAGCGCCTGCTCAAGTGCGCGGAATTTCGCCCTGCCAGGCGTAGTACTCCTATCGCTCTCAGAGATTACCGTGTCAACTGCCTTTGAACAGCAGCTATTTATGAAGAAACCAAAGGTGTTGATTCGCCCAGGTGTTTCCTCAACGCTCAATAAATCCACCAGCTTCTGTATCATTTTTATCATTTTTGAATAAGTTGAGGCATAAATGGCTAGTCAGAATAAAGGCGCCAGACCTCTGATAAATTCCGAAAGAGACTCCATATCACCAAGTGGAAGACAAGGCTCCGAAAAAAAGCGGTGATCAGAAGGTGTCACCCTGCCGGAACCCGCTAGAAAGAAGAGCGGTGAAGGCAGTTAATTCCACAGTAAGTATTGAGTGACGAAGGGATAAAGTGAATGATATCCGACTAATACGGATTTGCTAAGTTTTGTATGCTTGCTTGATGCTGTCTAGAACGCACGTCACGCCATTCTCATCAAGCGTTCGGCGTCATTTTCTGACCATTTGAAAGAATCAAATTGCAAATCTGGTAGCTCCCACGCAATTTATGTAGACAAAGCTCTTGACTCAAAAAAAACTTTGTGCAGATATGGTAGACTTGATTTTCTTTTTTTTTTATTCCGTGACCATGTGAGCTGCTGCTTGGTGGACCATTACAAATATAGCGCCGATTTTTGAGAACTTTGATAAGAAACAATCGCGCTCATCCTGCTGATGCAGATTGGAGTACATATCCCTAGTTGGCAACTTCTGCCCATACGTTAACAGCAGGTCCGCGACCAAGCTGACTCCTGACTCCTTACCCTGCCCTCACGGCAGCTATTTTCCAGGAAATTTCATTCTCAGATAACCGATTGTTTTTGTCGGGAGGTGCACCGTTTTGGGAAAAAATTTGTGGTTCGGGTCCATTTCTCCCCGCCCCTGCCTTTCACCAACCGAAGGCGGCTCAATGTCAGCTACCAATCGGTGGGTACGTGATAAGTGCTGCCCTGTAGCGAAAAATTGAGTTCCTGACACGAAACGGGAACATGGACAGTTCTTGGTCCATGTGTTCTAGACATTTCCTTACCCAACTCACGCCAGTATTATAGATACTAAGTGGTTTATTCCGTGTCGTCACACGGGCATAACTTGCGGAGTCCTTACCAGAATGTTTAGATACTTAGTTCGGATAGGCATCTTGAATGGATTATACAGCTTCCAATGTCTCCAGAATTTTCGACAATGAACCCCGTTTCTTCGTTTTTCTTTGCTTTCCTCATGAAAGGAGCAGCTAAACATGGGGATTTGAGAGGGATCACTTCACGCGATACCCGTGCACGATGGCTTTGAAAGTACTAAGGACTTTGTGGTGTGACGTGATATAAATCAACTCTCAACGAGGATTAGTAGGATTCAAGGAGGACAGGTGAGATCAACTTAAAGGCAGTTTCCGCTATTAAGTGTAATGGACACCTGCTGTTCAATTATGAGTCAGTAGCTAATAAACGGTCCCCCTAAGAAGAAAGAAAGCAAGGAAAATTTCCAAGAACTCTCGAGATAGAATTGCTCCCCAATAGTAACACCGCCCTGCGGTCTCGGTCTAACCTCTGGCTCACAAATCGCTTTTTCGCAACTTCCAACATCAAATGTCATACAAAACAAGGAAGGAAATGAAAAACTACAAAAACACTGACTCCAAACTCGTAATAGGATGAAACTTTTGAGAACTCTGTGTACGGGTTTAGGATTGAGGTAGCAGTGCACGTCGCTTCTGAACCAGAAAATGGCATCACTGATAATTTCAACAAGGTGGTCTGTTTTTGACTGCATTTGCTTCTAACGAGGAAAATACAGTAAAGAAGAGGTGGATTACTTACGAGCTCAAGCGGGTCGGCACCCTGTAGTACCCTCGTCACTCGGTGTGGAGTCGCGAAAGTGGGACAGTCCCTTAGCTTGGGGGCTGGACTTCTTGCACAGGGAGGACGACCACGATTTCTCGTCGTCATCCGGGGAGTTGATTAGGCGGCCAAGGGTCGCGATCGGCTGCGGCGCTGTCGCTGACACGAGCGCGATCAGCTGTTTCCTGCCTATTTTAGCCACTTTCTCATTAATTTACACTGTTTGGCTGCTTTTCTCAAGATTATTGTTCCTTGTCTTCACAAGGCAAATTATGATTGATATTCCTTTGATTTTTGGGTACAATTGAACATTACGCAGACAACTGAACAAATATCACAAAAAAAATAGCAAAAACGAAAAGGAGCACACATCCCAACACACTTCACAAAGGCAATGAAACAACTTACCTCGAAAAAAAAGAGAAAAATGCAGTGTTAATTCGGGAGAACTTGGCCAAATGCGGTTGCGACACGCTGCAGCTGCGTCGCGACCCTTGGCCGCCTAATCAAGTGCCCGGATGAGGACTGTACATGCGGACGTGTACTGTCTTTCAAGACAATTCAAGCGGATGTTCAGCAATGAACCAGTAGCCGACAAGTGGCTCCCTAGTGGAGATCAAAGCGAAAATATACTACAAGAACACCCAAGACGAAATTCCTCTCTGAGAACCACGCAGCTTTATTGTGCGACTTCCCTGCACTTGCCGCAAACCAACACCTTGCAGACTCTGTGCAATCTCTGGCTCACAAATCGTTTCTTCGTAAGCACTTGACTTGGGTAACGAAGTCAATAGAAATGAAATCTGTCTCACCTGATCGTCTACTGAACAGGCCAAAAACCATTGTTATGAAATAGCCAAAGAAGGGGTGCTTCACCAAGCAGAACAGAAGCGGCTATCGTTCGATTGTCATTCATTATTCATGAATAAATTATCGCTTCGAAAATACAACATTCAGACATTCCACACGCGTTCCATTCCATTCCTGGCAAGCAGTGTACGCCATCGCGTTGGGTTAAATTTCAGCTAAATACGACCCGCCCTCCTCTGAAAAGGGTCTCGATGCTGCCCTGTTCTCCTAACCGCGCTAATCTGGTAGCAGCAGAGCAGATAGCAGCGAACAAACAATCACCGAAAAAAATGGAAGATCTGGGATAAATGTGAGGAACACGAAGAAAACGAGCCATAATAAATCATAAATAATCAATCAAGAATAATAAACTATAAGTGAAGCGTAATAAGTCACAAAAAAGAAGGTAAATACGGCAAAATGCAAGTGCCAGCACTTGAATATTAATTGTTCGCTGCCCAAAGTTGCAGTTAGAGTTAGAACAGGCTTTGTGCCGTGGCACTAGAGCGAGATCTCACGATTTGAATTCAGTCCCAAGCCAAGCACTCAGGAAGCACCCTTTGCTTGAACCCATACCTTCGAGAGTGGAGCTTCTGAAGAGGAGAAAGCAGGACTGTAGAGCACTAAGTTGGCATTGTTAAACGAGTTGAAGACAGCCCCCGCGCTCAAGTGTACATGGTCGTCCTTCCTTGGGCAGGTAGTTCAGCCCCCAAGCTAGATACTGCCTCACTCTCGCGACTCCTCAGCGAACGAGGAGCGAGCTAGAACCGCTCAAAGTTCTAGTTCTAACGCCTGATCAGTTGGACCGCCTCACTAACTAGCTGACCTCTGACGGACAGCCGCTCAGTTGTTCCTTCTTGGGACGGCAGTCATTAATCGGAACTGCATGCAGTTTTTGCTACCGCGCTCGTGCTCGTAAATAATTCTGCTCTCCTTCATCACATTTTATTCATTGGGAGCACGTACAGTCAACAGCAACCCATTCGTAAGGTAAAACGCGTAAAATCACAAATGATGCAATTTCTGTGGTGCAAAAGCTCGACGCACTTCACTACACTAAAACATGCTCGCTACCGTAACCCTAAGTTCGGACGCCGGCTTTTTGAATGTTTCCTTTTCTTTTCAAGAGTTTTTCCCCTATGTTTCTGTTGCTTTTTGTTCTCTTTTCTTCGCAGTCGATGATATCCGCTACTGGGAGATGTGACAAAGTGATTTGAGAGCCAGGGCTTGCACAGAAACCGCAGGGAGGTGTGACTGTCAGGGCGCGATTTAGTTTCTGGTGTTCTTGAGAGCTGTTCTTGAGAGCTCTTGTTTCTTTTTTCCCCATTGAGGAATTACTTATCAGCTACTGTTTCATAACTGATCAGCAATTATCCTTGACACTTTTACCGCGGGAGATGTCTTTGACGGCAAAGTCAGCGATCATTCGCAAACAGATAGTGGATTAGGTTTCTGCAAATAGGCCACAAGGTGCTGATTAATTCTGTAGTGAAGAAAAATCAGAAAAAAACATGCGGGCCGCCCTAAATAGGACCCCATTTGATTTCGGGTTCCGCGCGTGCCCAGTCAACTCCACCTCCAACACTACACCCCCCTCTGCACAGCTGGTTCCCTGATCACGACTCTAACCGCACAAGTGACGACTTTCAGGCTTTTCCGTTCTGCAGCCTCGTTTTTCACTGGAACGCAGGCCCTGAAGGCGGAGTCTGGAGGCGGAGTCACAAAAAAGGCGTCAGTGAGCCTGTGGCGCTATTGCGCTGTAGCGCTCCTCCCATACAAGTTGTTGTCGCAAAACCGGTACTTTCAACTTCTATACCTGATCGCGGACCGTGCCTTTAAACGATTCTAAACAATCTCCTTTTTGAGAAACTTTCCTCGTTGCTGCTGCTAAAAGCGACACCTTTGAAACAATATATTTTTTATAATCAAATTTTCACGAACAGATCTATCAGAATAATACTAAGAATTGGTGGCAATGAAATACTAAAGTGAAAATAAACCCTGTTCCAATCAATATTAAGCTACAAAAAAATGAAATGAAAGACAAATGACAAATGAACAGTGGTTGTATGTATGTGCACAATAGATAAGTAGAAAAGTTATTCAATTTCTCTGCTGGGAAAGTAATCGTCCAGCATCCAGTACGGCTCCGTAAGCTCGATCAACAAGTTCGTTTCGAAATTTGGCTCTTTTCACTTCATCTTTCTCCAAGTCTTCACACATATCGTGATAGACCGATAGACCAAATAATGCGAAATTGCAAGCGTACAGGAAGATCCGATCATAAGCCTCATATACCTAAAGAATCTTCTGAGAGTGTGGTTTCAGGCTTGCAAAATTAATGACCAATACCTTATCGAGAGTATAAGGTGGATTCCCATTGAATAGCCGCGTGAGGGTGTCGTGATATCGCTTCAGGAACCTAAACCTTGTTGATTCATTCGAAAAGGGACGTAATAGCACACGATACCGGTCGATAACGGACAATTCTATACACTACTGTAGAAGAGTGCTCCTCATTGGTAGTTCTGTTCACTGTCACAGTAGCGACACAAGAAAAAACTCAGAAGAAGCCCCAAAACTGCATTTTAGCCATGTAAACCTATTTGCTTTCATCCAACAATATTAGAGACAATATTCAACAATATAATATGGAAACATAATGACACTATACTAGTCACTCGTCAAGACAGATGTGGAAGTTGCACCTTCCACAACCATGGGATCGAGCTCCGGTTGGCTCCCGTCCCAATCAACCGAGATGTCTATCCTTCCAGGGCGACGTGAGACACGGTCAGGAGGATGAAAGACTGGCTCATATCTAGTCTCTGGCCCCGGATCTCAAAGTAACTCCGCTCCTAGGGTTGCTCAACTAGCACATGAACATCTGATTTCCAACCGTGCTACATACGACGTTCTAAGCACCTAATCGTGGGTATCCGTTACAGCCAAGCCGTTCAGCAGCCGAACTCAGACAGGCGATATTCCAGTAAGGTGGAACATTTATAAGACTTGCTTCTTGCTATAATAAGGGACAACAGTAATGTGATTCAAAATTTTTTATTTTCTTCGTTTGTACTTTTGTAATGATTGAAACATCGATGTTCAAAAATGTGGTATGATTTAATTATATTAAAATTTCTTGGAACTGAACTTTGTTTTCATGTTTTATTTTTATTGATTTCAAAGAAGTAGTCTAGTTTCCGTTACGCACGTGTCCTTAGACGGAAAGCCACAGCTGTTCGGGTGGAGACGCCTGCTGAACCCGTGGTGAAAAAAGCTCCGGCGTTGGAGAGCAGATCAGGGCACAAAATTGCTCGGATTTCCGGATTTGTAAAAGACTGGACATGTTAAATCCATCAAAGTAGCACTACAATTAGATAATTCAATTTATCGTACGTAAATGATATACAATACTGGCGTAGAGAGGTCCGTGTAGTGGAAGGGGAGTGCCAACTTTCCTGGACCTTAAGACCCAATTTTGTTAAGCAGTTGGCACGGTAAATCCTAATACAGTAGGATTAATACGCCTGACAGGACGGAATTCCGCGGCTCTGAGCAGGTGCCGTCTAGCGCCTCCCCTAAAGAAAGGCACTTTATAAGACTCTATCAAGCTGCAAATACCGACCCAGCGCGCCACAGACCCTCCTGCCCACAAAACGGACGACCGTACCTGGCGCTTGTGCCGCTTCATTTGCGAAGTAAAATATGAAGCAAAGGCATGATGAAGCGGCCGCGGTGCTACATGGATATATGAGCACATACGTGCAGCGTATCTACCGTAGCTGTTTATTGTCAAGAGTTGCCTCGGAAAACTCGTCCAAAAATTGCTTTTTGATTCACTAGAGAACGAAGGCTTTTCCTTTGCAGTTTTGACCGTTTGCTTCATTTGTCGCCATTTTCCCACCTATATGAGCACCACCTGCTTAGCATTTGATAAATTATCGTGCCATATGCCTTCGAATGACAAGCATGTACGCAAAAGTCCACCACCTCTGCGGGAAACAGCTCACAGTATCTTTTATCAACATAATGTACTTGCACAATACTAAACAAAGGAGTGACTCAGAGCATATTTTCATTTCATGCATTTTTTGCATTTTTTTTCTTCATTGTCATGGTACTGCACAAATCACAATCCTTCTCTAATACCTTCAACCCTTGTAGTGGCGCCAATATAATTTTGAGTATACAATAGCTTCCTAGAATTGTTGGCATCTGAGCTCAGTTCTCCTACCTTCAGTCATCAGACTTCGATCATTACGCGATAACGAAATGATCAAGACTCGAAACAATATCCTGGCGAAGGTTCCCAGATGAAGCTGTTGGAATCAATGACTGCGACAAGCTAACGAACAGAAATAACTTGATGGGAGGAATTTCCAAGCGCAAGCGAGTTATCAGAAAATCGACTCTCAAACAATTAAAAAAAAATTGGGGAAAAAAGAAAAAAGAACGCTCATTCGATTTTGCTGGATTCGGTCCCATAAGATGTTTGTGGGATTCAAATCAAAATGCACCAAAACTGGAGGAACACCTGAACACCATTATTTCTAAGTGTACTTTCATAAAAGCCACCAGTTCTCCACTATATCGAAACAGCTGAGCAGATTTCAAAAGTTACGAAGCCGCCGCAGCGCTAGGTTACCAGCGCTTCACCAGAACTGGGCAGTAAAATGCCGTGAGAAAACTACAGCAGTGTTGACTTATCGATGGAGCCTCTGTGCGCTTTCGAACCCACCAATAATCACCAACCTAGCTCTTCTTGTAGGAAGTAGGAGAGCTCTTAGCTGCTGCCTTCATTACTGAAGTGCTCTTTCAAAGGTGCCGCTACTTTTCGCGAATTTTCACTGGGACAAATGTTTTTTCGAATTGAGCGCAGATTCGTACTGGAAAACTTCGGTTTTTATTAAAGAAATAAGCAAGCCTAAGTAACATCTGTACGTACTTTGGGAATAAAAAAAAGAAAAAAGACCAAATTGTTCTATTTTCATCTCGTTGTTCCTCACACGTTTTCCTATGTCCCTTTTCTCTCCATTCAATCTATCTAACGGTGACTTTTCCAACACTGGCTGCTTTCACATTTATTGCCTGGACGCTAATAATACATAACAACTATTGGATGCTGATACTATGATCGGTTGCCGAGACACCTGTTCCATGCATGACTAGGAGGAGCTCTTCCTATGAAGTAATTCGAGAGTAACGTGTCTTGAAGCCAGACGTGATCCTCTAACATCCGTCATCTGCTTTCATGATCTCTTGACAAGATTACAATCAAGGTACCAAGGGACCCCTGCGCTGTGACACACACACCACACACACACACAACACACACTAAACCACACACACACACACATCACACACACACACAACAACATACACACCCACACACACAATCACAAACACACACACACACCGGCTCCATGAAGATGTGGGAATGATACGCTGTGGAAGATCACTCGAGCAACAATGAGGCCTATGCGAACCGGCGATCGTATAAATAAGTATAATAAGTGTATAATAAGTATATACAAATAAAGAACCTGTAGGTTTTGGAAGTCCGTATCAACCTCGGAGGCACGGTCGAATTCGTCAACCCATGACTGGTCCTTCTTCGATATGAAGTGGTAATGAAACCCGGCCAGAGCGTCCATTAGTCTTTCGATCTTAAGACATCTACGTATTAATACAAATCTTGAAAACAGCCTCCAAATATGGCTAGGATTAATTATTAGATACAGTTATGATCCCTGCAGACGATAGGACGTGCGATGGGCCGTGGACTAGAGCGCTGCCAAGGCGACCTTTTCTACCAATGGTGCTACTTCAAGTCTTCCACAAATGGCGGGAAAGGCAGTTCTGGCTGACCATCATTTCACTCCCTACACATGCCCTTTCCTCATCCGAAAGATTCGATAGACACCGAGAAAACTTGCGACAAAATAAGTAAAAGAAATAGTGGATCCTTATCAGGTCCGATAAAGTTCTTGTGTTTAACAAATCAAACCTGGTTGATGCTTTGGACTTATATTGCCACTTATCTGCTTTTGTTATTTTTCATAAAAAAACCAATGATCCAGGACTTACATCAAGACGCTTCAAACTAAAACTGCACCTGATCGAACGAAAATCCTGGAATAAAGTCCATAGCTTTCACACGTTCACTCAAATCTTCCATAATAATGATGCCAGTCTCCGGTACAGTAACCTTTTCGGCGGCGTAGAATTTTGGAATTGGAAAATATGGTATTGAGTCGTTCCCATAACGTTCATACCATGATACCTCGAACTGAAAACGAAATGGTTCCTACATTCTCCATGATTTCAACCTATCAAGTCCTCTTTTAGCAACTGTGATGGTCCCGATTTCGTGAGGCGTGTGAGGGGGCGTGGACCGGAGCGCAGCCACGACTACCTTTTCGAACAGTCTGACGCCGCGCACAAGTGGTGAAAAGGCTGCCATGTCTAGCTTCTGTCAACGCCCTTCATACGCCCCCTCGTTTGTATGTAGGATAATGATCGCAACATGCAGAAAAAATATCGAAAAATATTGCAGAGAAAAATATTAATCTGCGCTCAAAATCGACATTCACTTCGTACCGGTAAGCTAGGTGAAAGGTGATAGTAGACTCAAGTAAACGGGTGAATTACAGTGATTGCGCAGTTCGGTTATTGTGGAGCCATGAAGCTCCTTATAGCCATGGCGCACCTCAGTTAATTTGCGAAGAACTTCAGCGTCAGCGGAGTTATCCTCCTGTCCAGTCTTGTCGAGATTCTTGACGTTTTGAGAGATGTGAGGAATCTGCAAAATTCAAAATGAAAAAGGATGGGAAATACATTTCCAAAGTAGCCTGCTGATTGAAACAGTAATTTGCACGTCGGCTGTCCCCTGCGCTCTGTAAGAATGAGGTACCGGATGTTAAAACTCAACAAGATAGGGATGGAGTCTAGACAGGTTGTTTGCTAACCACAGCGCCAAATTATCTTCCTTCGAAGCCAACATTTATTTGATTCGATCGCAAATACCTCTATTTCGAACCTGGCCAGACAATAGGGGAACCCTGACAGAGGTGAACCACTTGCTCGAAGACAGGGAAATACTTTTGCTCAGGCACAAGCTCTACGTTTCCCTGCGAGGTTCCCTGGGTTTCCCTTGCTATGTATGAAGTGGGTGGGTGCGTCAGTTCAGTATTATAGCTGATAACGTCGCAATCAGCCCAGGCGGAATGAACCCGCCTTCGACTGCCTTTTCTACCAATAGTGATCGGTCAGTGGTCTAGGAAGAGAACAACCAGTGATGGAAACGCTGCGTGTGGGCTTATTCTATCCCTGCTGAGGCTTTCCGACATGCCACTTTCGCCATTCTTTTGAGAGTGAAAATGATGCTGGACCGAGGTGAAAGTTGAATGCCGTTCGGGTCTCCTTCCGGCCAGCTCCTAAATTATGCAACCATTAGTTCCTGCCCCTGTGATCCATCTGCTTAAAATGCCCCTTGGCGTCCTGCTTCTCAGAGAATGACAACTGGTTCCAACCTATTGGTGCAGCCCATTAGGTGCTAGCGCGGCGATCTCGATGTCGCACGGATTTATCCGTTGACTTATCTACGTGACTTTAGGGTTTTTAAAAAATTACCTTGACAAAAGCAGATGTTGGATATTTTGATGAGAGTTTTTCATCATTCCACTGGAAAAACACGCGAGCGATTATTGACCAGAAACTCTTCTTATTCGTTTGAAGGGCGAGGCTATAGCTGACGGACTGATCAAAATCCTTCACATCGGGAAAGCACTTCCGAAGAAGTGCGTCTATACGTCCATTACAAACTCCATTTTCCATCACAGCACTGAAATTGGTCAGAATTTAATTTCTGGGAAGATGTGCTCTATTTTAGGGCAGTACTCATTCACTCTAGATCGGAAGTTCTGCAAGTAATGTATTCTAATTAAAAGCCAAATGTACTGAAAAGTGTACACTTATTCGACCAGTTTCAGAAACAAACTATCGATGGAGTAAGGAAGCCAGATTTACAGGAGTAAGGATGCCTGATAGCGACGCTCTTGGGCGCTCTGAACACACATATTCAGAGCGCCCAAGAGCGCTACATATTTTGTTTACGCGTTCTTTAGATATGAAAACGGTCCATATCGATCGAGGTGGAACACGGGCCTGCCGTTTTTCAGTCTCGTCCTTGTGACAGTTTATAAGCACAAGGAATAGTATTCTGCGCTAA